GCTGAAAGAAGTAGCATTACTGAGTACTGAGAAAAAAGAGCACACTAGAATGTGGTGAGTGTGCACGGCTGCGAGTCGCCATGCAAAGCCTGGTATGATCATTTAAACGTCAACGGTACCAGGGACGGATTTGGCGGGAGTTTTTCGGACCACTTCATACGTCTTTACACATTAACGTCACATGCACAGGCTCGAAAAGAAGGTCCTACTTGATGTTGAGGTCTCAAATGTCTCCAAAATCAATATTATACTGATGAAGATATGATGACAATAGTGGACAACTCACTCACATCCCTTTCAACAAGTTTTGACTGAGTTTGAGTTTTCTTTCTACCCATCTGCAAAAGTCAGATTCATCCGCTTGTGGGGTCTGAAGCACAACCCACGTTACAAAACGGTCTTCCTCACGTTGTGTGCAATTGCATATTTCCACCAGAGAGGTCTCCACATCCCCAAAATTAACATAGTGTTGCTTTAACACAGCAAGGACCCTGGTCACCCGGCCGGGGAATCGAACCCCCTCCACTGTGATGCCCCTAATACTGAAGTACTGCTTTATAAATAAAAACAGACAATGCATTAGTGTGTAACTGCAAGATATTTCATCTGAAGTGAGATTTTTTCCAAGAGGAATTATTTGTGCCATGTCTTCCCATATGAAAGTCATCAGCATGCCTTTTACTGTAGTAGGCCTTGCAGGGGTAGTTGTCACAGGTGGGCTCAGTTTAGAACAGATTAGTCGAAAAGTGTTAAATCTTCTCTTAGACATGTTTTATGCATAAATGTGGATTCTGTGACTTTTCTGTGATTTTTCTTTACTTAAGCTTTAAAAACAAAAACTAGATTAAATGATCTTCAAGGAACTGAATTAATTAATAAATTAGAATTCAGTCTCTATTCTTGTCCTTGCTCTTTGATGAGAAGTAAACTTTAGTACAGCTATTCATTAGAAGTTTAACATGAAGTATAATGAGTGTGACAATCAACCCCACAACCAGATCCAGGAACATGTACTTGGATCAGCATGGATGCGTTTTCCCTGACATCACTTAATGCGTTTGCAAGATAAGTGAGACAGACTGTTACAATAATATGTATCGCGGCTGTCGATACAAAACCTTGTATCTCCAAAATGGTAACTTTACAGGGGAAGGAAAAACATACTTTACCTTTAATGTAAGTCAATGGAACCAGACTTCTTTCTAAGTCATTTTGTTGTTTGTTTTTGGTCCATTCATTGTGAAATTGACATGTTTATGTCAAAAACTGAAAAGTGACAAAAATGGAGATACATACTCACATTTATACAGTAGGTATTTAACCCATAAATGCATACAGGTTCTTAGAAATACAATATACACTCATCCTCTTTCAGCCTGTTCTGTTCTATCGGTCAGGATATATATATATATATATATATATATATACACCAAAGGGACATCACATCGTATGTCATATTACACTCTTATACCAGTGTAGCAGCATCTCCACCAGAGATTAAATCCATTTACTCCATCTATATTCATCTCTCTCTCTCTCTCTCTCTCTCTCTCTCTCTCCTCTCTCTCTGTTATCATTGACTGTGTATGTGGGTATTCACTGCATTGCTCATGTTTGACACTGTGTTCTCTCTCTGCACTGCACAATTATCACTGTACTCACTCGCTTTGACTTGTTCTCTTAGTGATATTTTTGAGACACACCGACTCTCTCTCTCTCTCTCTCTCTCTCTCTCTCTCTCTCTCTCTCTCTCTCTCTCTCTGCCCTTGAGCTTTTCTATTACCGTGTGGAAAGCACCTCAGCGGCGTGACAAGCACGGCGGATCGACACTAAATCAGAAATCAGTGCTGGAGCTCCGTCTGACCCGCCATGAAGGTCACACTTCTCACACAGCCGTCTCTATCTGTGTGTGTGTGTGTGTGTGTCAGAGAGGGGCCTGTGGGAGTGTGAGAGGACAGGAGCCGTGTGCAGTGACAGTAATCCTCAAATAGTTACTCTGCTCCTCATACAAACCATCACTCTCTCCATTCTCAGACAGACTACAGATTACTGCAGGCCTAGTGGAGGCAAAAAAAGCCTGTATTTGCAATGACTTATAGGGGAATTCCACCAATCTTTCAAAATTTCTACATAATTCAGTGGTTAAGATCTAAACAGAGTCATTCAGAGTGGTTTGGGTGTGAAACGCTCTGTTCTAGAGAAACTTACTAAATCAGAACTGTTCACAGTGGTGGTGATAGGAACCAGACGTCCACCTCTAAAAGCTCCCTCACAGAATGTTACTACATGAAATGGTTATGGATTCACTGCCTGATGACTGAGACACTGTTTTGAGAAGATTTTAACCTTAAAATGTATTCATGGTGGAGGGATACATAATATGCAGGGTGTTATGAGGCAAAATAGTCCCGCAAAGAAAACGTATTACTTAAATATTTCAATTCGTACAATTCGTATTATTTTCCCACTATTTTATCATCATCACTATTACATATAAACTCAGAAGACTCGTGTAGGTTCTCTGGTGGTTTTGGATAGTAAATAAAATATCTGTATTTGTGTTGTAGTCATGGCGACGCCTGGTTCCTATCACCACCACTGTAAAGGGTCTCTTCATGGAACCATTTCACACCAAACCACTCTGAATCACTTTGTTTACATCTTAAACAGTGAACTAAGGAAGATTTTTTTTAAAAAAATGGGTGGAATTCACCTTTAATTGTTTAACTTGGTTAAACTGAATGTCAATACAGTGACATTTTATCTCATCATTTCAGCTCTGTGTACTGTGATGGTCTCAGATGGTCAGCTGAAGTGTTTCTAGACTATTTCAGCCCAGTAGTCTGCACTGGACATCTTTTTCTTCTGCTTCCTCTGCAGCATCATTAGCTCATTATCAACCCCTTCATGAGCTGAATCAGGTGTGTCTGAGCAGGTGGAGTAAACTGAGCCTGCATGGTTGATACAGGCTGCCATCTAGTGCTCATAAGTGGTACTGCTTGACCTCAGGGGCTGCAGGGATCACTTCTGTAGGTTATTTGATTTGATAGTCATCATATGCCCAATCAAAATGATCATGTAGCACAGCAGATCATCTGTCTATAACATAGTGCCATGAACCTCAGTAGTTACCCTCGTTAACCTCTGTGAGACAGAGATGCTGTCTTTGTAATACATTTATTCATTATATATTCACTGTAAAACAGATTTTAAGCTGTTGCAGTAAAGCTATTTTTAATATATTTGCCTTCTACATAAGCTTTACCAGGCAACTTCTAATATATTTGAATAAATGTTTATATATTTATATTAAGGACATGCATAAAATGCTGCATATAAAAAGATCATGTTTATTTTATTTTCCTGCAAATCCCAGTACATCTCTATTTGGTAGGTTTGGTAGATTAATAGTATTTATTTAAAGGTGTTTTGGTTAAACATTCATACAGCGCAGTTTTAATTATTCACTAGCTTCTTTTTACTCATATGAAGATTCAAATGCATGAAAGCTCATTTCCAGCTACAGACCATATAGTCACCTATGTGTTCTGCTCTCCTTCTTATTTTCTGGCAGCATTATGTCAAAATGTTGACTTAGTATGTCTTATTAGACATAATTACACAATAACGGCTTACCTTCTTGTAATTTCTTCAGAGTCACTATTTTTGACATTAGAATTCCTTATTTTGAGATATTTATTCAAAATGTCAGGACAGTAAGCCATTATTTTGATACTATAAGCTGTTATTTTGAGATACTAATTCATACTTTCTAGAAAATAAGTAATTTGTTTTAACGTATAAAGTCGTTTTTCCAAGATAGTAAGTCAAAGGTCTGAGTCTGAGAAAGTAAGTAATTACTGACACAGAAAATCATATTTCAAGAAAGTAAGTCATTATTTCAACGTAGCAAGTCATTATTTTGAATATTAATTCAAAATGTCTAGACATTGTCATTATTTTGACATAGTAAGCCACTGAGATACTAAGCTAAAATTCTGAGAAAAATAGTAAATTTTGACAAATTTAGTCCAATGTTTGGGAAAATAAATCATTATTTTGGCATTATTCCAAAATTCATTATTTTTTTATACTAATTTGAAATTATTTCGACACAATAAGTCATTTTTAGATAATAATTAAGATTTTCTAGAAAATAAGTCGTTATTACAACACAGTAAGTCATTGTTTTGAGATACTAATTCAGATTTTCTAGAAAATAAGTCGTTATTACAACACAGTAAGTCATTGTTTTGAGATAATAATTCAGATTTTCTAGAAAATAAGTCGTTATTACAACACAGTAAGTCATTGTTTTGAGATAATAATTCAGATTTTCTAGAAAATAAGTCGTTATTTCGACACATAAGTAATTATTTTGAGATACTAATTCAGATTTTCTAGAAAATAAGTCGTTATTACAACACAGTAAGTCATTGTTTTGAGATAATAATTCAGATTTTCTAGAAAATAAGTCGTTATTACAACACAGTAAGTCATTGTTTTGAGATACTAATTCAAAATCTCTAGAAAATAACTCATTATTTCGACACTGTAAATCATTGTTTTGAGATACTAATTCAAAATGCCCAATAAGTTGTTCGAAACATATCAAGTCAAAATTTCAAGATACTAAATCAAATTCTGAGTCATTCTAAGTCAGTTTCGACGTAGTTGAAAGTCATTATTTCTACACAGGGAGTCATTATCTTGAGGAACCGCTCTGAAAGTTTGACCTTCTGCTGCGAGAAACAGAAAAAGAGGAACACAGTTTTTCTCCTCCCCTGTCTGGACTCAGAAACCGCAGCTGAACCTGATACTGAAGATATGAAGCTGTGCTTCAGAAGCCGCATTCGCTCCCGGCGTCTGTCAGCCGTGCTGTGTGTGAACGTGTAATATCTGATAAACGTTATGCTGAAATGCTGAGCATGTTAAAAGGGGAGGGGCCGAAACGTTGCCGCAGACGCAGAAACGCGCTTCTGCTCGTTCTCGGTTGTCCGCTCTACGCTTCCGTAGTCAGTCACATGAATGCGGGTTGTTGTGGTGCGGAGCCTCGCTAGCTCGACTGTAATGAGCCTCTGTTTTGGTCCTCCGCTCGTGTTTAAAGTGTATTTTAAAGGCTGGTCAATTCTACATTTTAGTCAGTCATTATAGTTTCTAAGACAGGGCGCCGAATGGTCAGGTAAGGACTGACCGAGGTTGGCTTCTTGTTCGAATTTTCCGTTCCACCGTAAATGCTGTACCAGTGACATTCTGTTGCCTGAGGCGTTATTATAGTAACTGCTGCACCATTTAAGGTGGAACGGGAAGTTCGAATGAGAAGCTGGAGAATTTTCCTAAGACACAATGTTATGACCGTCTTTCTGTGGGTAGCAGCAGCTCGGTAAGGTCTGGATGTGTTCCTGTGTTCTTTTAGGCTTTATATTCTGCCCCCTTTCCCTCAGTAAAGACCCTCAGTCATGCTGCGATGGATTCTCGGGGGTCGTGGCACTCAAGGCGCAGTCGAGGTGAGTGCAGAACGTCTGGAGAAAGTTCTAGAGAGGAGTTTTAGTCCTCTGATCATTCTTTAGTTTTTTAATTACTGTGGAATACTTCATGAAGATCCATGGAATGTCTGGAAATTGTCTTTATTTTGAGATACTAATTCACAATTGTCTAGAAAATAAATCATTGTTTCGATACAGTAAGTCATTATTTTGAGATACCAATTCAAAATGTCTAGAAAACAAGTCGTTATATTGACCTAGTAAGTCATTATTTTGAGATATTCAAAATTTCAGGAACTGAGTCACTGTTTTGAGAAAGCAAGTCATTATTTTGAGATACTAATTCAAAATTTCTAAAAGCTAAGTCACTCTTTTGATACATTAAGTCATTATTTTGGGATACTAATTAAAAATGTTCAGAAAATGTCATTATTTCGACAAAGTAACTATCGTTTTGACATGCTAACTCAAATTTCTAAAAAAATAAGTCATTATTTTGGCACGGTAAGTCATCATTTTGACATACTCAGAATTTCTAGACACTAAGTCACTGTTTCGACACAGTAAGTCATTATTTTGAGATAGTAAATCAATGTCTAGAAAATAAGTCACTCACCAATTAAAAACACTTATGATTAAAAAAAATAAAAACAGGCTTCAGAGTGAATCTGTAGAAACATCTGTCTGACTGCTGGGAAAACTCACAGATGACGTTGCTATGAGAACACGAGAAGATGACCAGAAGCACGTTCTGCTGGAACCTGTTTAACTACATAAAACATTCAAGCATCCAAACATCCATACTAAGTTATGAATATGAAGGATATGAATAAGTTAAAGGAACAGTCCAAATATAGTACACGTTTTGTTATTTTAATCATGATATTTAGTGTTCAGTATTACTGAAATGTATTTAATGAGGGTGACTCCTATTGGCTTCTTCAGTGGCATACCTGTCTAAGGTTTCCTCTCATGGGTGGGAGATCACAAGTTTGAAAGCTAATCTCGAAACTGTGTCCAAGAAGATGGTGCTTTATTGACAATATTTTCCATAAAGGTAATAAAAATCTAGTTGAAGCCTGTATGGCCAGAATACAGGCTGGAAAGTTATTAGGTGCTAATTTTGTGCTATTTTTTCAGCAAAAAGCTAAAATTATTCAATTCTAATTCACACATTAACCAAACGACTTTTGTTGGAACTGCTTTTGCTTGTAGTTGTACAAGAACATTTTGCGCCTGAAACCAGATGCAGCTCTGTGCCCTTCGGAAGCCAATGGAAGATCATTTTTACACCGTATCTTACTTTTGAAGCACGCATGAGAACCCAAGGAGAACTGAAATTGGTTTACAGAGATGTCAGACTAGGCCTGGGCGATAGGGCAGTATAACCGGATATTATTGATGATGGACAAGTAACCCAAGAGGCGTGTATGAAAGGTGATTATCGCAATATTGGGAAACTGATTGAGAGCTAGAGAGAACTAATTTACCATTAAACAGCTACATATTTAGGGAAATTGGGGTGTATGTTCCTTTAAGAAGTGTACAGGCATGCGTCCATATAGTCATTCCTTCTGTTTAGCGGAGAGAGACTGCACTTAAGCGTCTAGTTGAATTATGAAAACTGTGAAAACATAATAATACAGGGTTTTCCAAAGGCATCTGTAGCTGAACTCTGAAGTGACTCCACTATAATGATGGAAAGCATGCTCTTTTTTAATAGGTAAATCAGAGTGCATGGCTTTAGAAATTGCCTGCTGTCTGAAATAGAGGTCTGCACTCCCGTGGGATTCCCACTGGACCTGCACGACCCACCACGATATCTTGTGGCGCGGGACTAATTTTCACTGTTGTGGGCAGGAAACCAGCCCACGGCAGGCGGGAGCGCGATGAAGCAGGCATGAAGAGAAATCCTGCAAGTTAATACATAAATAAAGTAGAACAATCACTACATCATATGAGTCATTCTATGGAAACGTCCATCTTTGTGTCTCTAGGGTTTACGGATATATCACACCTGAAAAACATGTTAGGCTTACAATTTGTTTATATTTTAAAATAAAACAATAAGCTATTTTAACAATTACACCTTCTTGAGCCTCAATTTAGCAATATTGGTTTTTAAATCAATCATATAGAATTCACCACAGAAGAGCTCGTCCCCACAGCCATGTGTGAAGGCTGAGGCCACATTTTGAGGTAAAAAACATGTTTTTCTGTAATTTTAACTGCAATAATCTATACATGACTATGAAATATATGACTTCAATGACATAAAGAGAACAAATGCCAAATAAATATTATAAAATGTATAGTGAAAGTCCTCAGGAGTCGTGTCACTGGTGTTACTGCATAACAAAAAATCTCTTATTTTGAAATAAAAGTCACACTGATGACATCACTCGACTTCCTTTTACCTGTTTTCTGAGGATCTATGAGGAAAAGCTCATGGTGAGTCCACTGTGTCTTTCAGTTATCAGAGATTTTCTCATTTAGCTCATGATTTCATATGAAGCTTTTAGCTGAAGTCACTGGTGTGACCCACTTTATTCTGAGGTAACTGTGAAAAAATAGAACACAAATGGATTAAATTCCATATTTTAGTGGATATTCCATGATTGACAACATGTGGTTCGATGCTCTGTAGCAGCCAGTTTAAAATATATTTTTCATTAAAAATGTTTCTGATGTTTCCTTTATTATGTGTAACACCAATGAGGATCAGCAACACCCGTGACTCCTATGGAGAGACAGAAAAGTGGACGTTTCTGTAGAACGACACTTATAAACAATATAAAACGATGACAGTAAAACAGTTAAAACGAATGAAGTCACTCTAAAGAGCTGTGAAGCAGCCGATCACGTGAACAACACGCAGATTCTCGTAGCTCACAGAGACGGCAGGGCCTTCAGTCCGACAGCCACAGCTGCCCAGCAAACCACCAAAAATAACCACTCTGAGGTTTAATTCCTGCTCTGTGTTTAAATGGTGAATAAATGTCGTTTGGTAAAGCCACTGTGAGCCTGATGACCACGACTGCCGCAAATAGACTGTGTCAGATATTGGATGTCAGTTTGCCTGGACGGGACTGCGTGGGCGGGAACAGGACAAATGATTCCGATATTCTGTGGGAGCGGGACTGAAAGAATAATCCCGCAGACCTCAGGTCTGTAATTTCTCCAGAAAGGGGAGCTATTAGCACGCCAGTCATCATGAACCCACACCAGAAGGACCTGATCAATGCACATGTCTGCAGTAACATCTATTAAAACGACAGGTGAAGCAGTTTTCAAAATGTGTTGGGTTACTCAGTGTTATATTACTTAATACAGGGCTGTGAAAAAGTATTTGCCCCCACCTGATCTCTTCTGTTTTTGCTAGTTCGTCACACTTTGTTTCAGATCATCCAGCTAATTTTAATATAAGATAAAGACAACGCAAGTAAACACAAAACGCAGCTTATAAATGATTCTTCCATTTATTGAAGCTAAAGATTTATTCAAGACCTGTATCACCCCTGTGAAAAAGTAATTGCCTTTTGTCTTTTACAGCCCTGTGGAGGAGTTTTGGCCCACTCTGTTTTGCAGAATTGTTTTCATTTGGCTATATTTCAGGGTTTGCGAGCATGAACTGACCATTTAAGGTCCTGAGATGGGATTCAAGTCAGGACTTCGACTCGGCCACTAAAAAAAAACCTTAATTTTGTTCCTTTGAGCCATTGATAGGTGAACTTGCTTGTGTGCTTCAGATTGTTTTCCTGCTGCATATTTGAAGGATTTGCAGTAAACAGTTAATGTTTAAAAAAGCGCTTAAAGTTAAAAGAGAATAGAAAGCGGTTTAAAGCTGCAGCCTTGGGGGTGGGGTGGAGCGGGTGATATCATTGATAATAGCAATTATTAAAGAAGATGTTTAAGCATATTTTGCTGATCATGTAGATATCGCCCAGGCCTACGTCCTTGTTTAAGCCTCCAGTGAGGGAATGTGTGGGAGCAAAGAGAGCTAGCTAACCTGACCCGGCCAGGCCGGCAGCAGTGATTTCAGCAGACGTGGGCTGGTGATTGAAGCCCCTCTGCGGCTCTGATCCGTTTGTCCGTTGTGTGTTGTCTCTGCGGCTGCAGAAGAGCGCGGCGCTGTGCATCGGGGAGGAACAGCCCAAAAACTGTTTCACGGAGTTGCAGGTGCTGAAAGGACATTTTGACATTGTTCGATTTCTGGTGCAGATTGATGACTTCAGGTAAGCAATCCTCTCCTCCATTTCTTTCTCTCTCTCTCCTGCTCTCGCTCTCCCTCGCTCGCCAGCCCAGCCGACCATGTGATTGACAGCTAAGCCTGAGCTAGATCCTCTCCAAAAGCAAACTTACAGAGCGTGACAAGAGCTTAATCATCACAGCCGGAGAGAGCTTTAGAGCACGCGTATGTGTTTGTGTGAACCCCCTGCTTGCTTCTACCCCTCACATAACACCCATCACCTCTGTCCTGCAGCCCCCCGCAACCCCCTACCACCCCTCCCCCCAAACTCGAGATGCATTAAAACCTGGCCCAGCTGTAATGGTTTGTGTGTGAGTGAATCTCCTGTCTGGCTTGGTGTTTGTGAAAGTAATGGGAAGTTCAGTAGAGCAGACAGGAACGGATTCCACACCCGACTTCAATTCCAGCACCACCCAAACCAGCTCTCTTAAAATTGCACTAATAGCAGAAGTTTTAAGGACGAGTTCAGATATTTGTGAGGGGATCAGATATCAGACAACTTGCGTAAGGGAGGAGAAAGTCAAAGTGGAAAAACAGGAGTTCAAAGCTTCACAGAATCGTGTAACGAACGCCCCTCTGTACAAAAATTACTTCCAATTAACAAAGAAAATTACGTGGTATTGTTACGTCTCAAACAAGCTGATGGTCTCAAGGCATTCCACTCCTCCCATTAGCATCCAATGTATCTGGTCTGCTACTGATCAGTGGTCAGCAACGTGTGGCTCCCGTGCTGCATGCACCTCCTCTACTGCCCTGTTGTGGCTCCACAGCTGAATTAGAGTTGTAGGTAAAAATAAAATAATCCTCCTTTACAGTAAAATAAAGCTCTGCTGATCATTCAACACAGTTTAACAGTAAATGGTCTTAAACTCTGGAGTTAATGTAGAACTGCTAATTCACCCTTTAACCCTGAAGATCAGCACAGACTGCTGGTCACCATAGCAACACAGACACCAGTCTCGCCTAGCTAGTAGCTAACGAAACGGCAAAGAGAGAGATTTAAGACGAACATCGATAATTTGGAGACGAATGGACTTATTTGTGTTTCTAATCACTCCATCTGGTTTCCTGATACGTTTAATCTGCAAACTGAAACGCTAAAAAGTTGTGAAGCTGAAGTGAGTTTCTCATTCAGATTCTTCCGTTCCACCTTAAATAGTGCAGCACGTCCAATACAAGTTGTGTAAGGTGAAATGGGAAAATATGAACAAGAAGCTGGCGAATCAGAAGCGACTTCAGCCTCGTAAAAAGTCGCATGTCGAGAGAAATTTTACAAGAAAATAATCTGATTCTACTTCTGAGGAAAAGTTTCCTGTGGGAGATGCGAAAAAAGCGGCTGTAGCTGAGCTAAAGATTAAAGCAGAGCAAAGTAAGTCTGGGTTTTTGTTTATATTTTTTATTTTATTCCAGTTCATCAGCACACACTGAAGCATATTTACAGCCAAGATGGCAAAATGGGCATAAAATATTGAGGCTCCCAAGGTGGTTAGATTTTCGTTGAAAGGACAAATGGCTCTTCTAAACATTTGGCTTGCGACCCCTGATATAGACCATTTGAATAAATACAAATACAGTAGAAATGGTGTGTTGTTTGGCTGTGAGGTGAACTGCCCTCCAGCCGTCGCATTTGTTCAGTTCCATCAGCGGCACGTGAGTAAATTCAATGAAGGATTGGTTTGGATAAATTAGGTATTGGACAGTGACTGTAAATATCAGACCTCGTCCAGGAGAGATTTAGAAAATGGCTGAGTTATTATTTGTATTTATTCTAATGTTAGTGTTTCTGAAACAAATAAACACTTAGGGCCTAGATAAATATCTTTACATATCATTTTCTAAGATGCCTGTTATTGTTTGTTTAAAATTAAGAAGTGATTCCAGGCTTAAAATGTGTATCGTGATAATAAATAGCCTTATTAATATGATACCCATCCATTAAGTATGACGGCACCATAATCAGCTCAGTCACTTAAACATTCCAGTGCAAATAATGTTCTATTCCATACGATATTTTAAATACTTGGACAAAGTTAAAGCTCAGTGATGCCCTTGATCCTTTAAATGTAACAGTATTTTGTACGTATGATGTAATATTTTTTTAAAAAATAAACTTTAATCAGCCTGAGCAGAAACTACAAACGTAAGAAGAGGTTCCACACGATTGAAGACTGTTCTGACTGTCCTGCTGATTATAGTTCTGTTTGTGTAAAATCAGTTGTGACGGCTGCTCTAGGAAGCAGAACCTGAGCTGTTTTTCTAAGCGAATGGCAAACATGTCACTGTTAATGAAAACGAACAGCTGGAGTCTGAATATCAGTAATGGGGATCGACTTGGTCAGTGGCGAATTAATTTGATATTTTCTTAATTGAGAGAAACGGCCTGCAGCAGTAGCAGCCAGCTAAGTGATAAGGTGAGTATAGGAGGCTAAAGACTGACCTGTGGCTCTCGTGCTGAATTAGCTTTTCTAGAACACTCTCTCTTTTCCTCTCAGCTCCACCTTTCTCTCCTCCTTTTGTCTGTTTTGCAGTTATGAACACAAACTGTGGCTACGTTCACATTACAAGCCTCATTGCTCAAGTCTGATTTTTTGCTCAAATCCGATCTCTCTGACAGGATGGTTCACACTCGTTTAGGTAAGTGACTCAAATCTGTCATTAATGTGAACGAACCAGCGTCCTGAAATGACCCTCATGAGCACATCCTACTCAGTAACGTCACGTGAGTGAATCATGTTCATCATCAGTACAAACTAACGAGCAGAACGAGCTTTGCTGAGAAGATCATTAACTCTGATCAGCTCTCAGCTTCATTATTAGAGCGAGACGAAGGAGAAAAAGGTGAGATGAGCTGCTTTTCCACCGTTTACAGGCTTTAACTTCTGTTCGGCGCTGCAGCCATGGTAGTGCTAAATGATGGCGCACGCGCAGTGGAAAAAAAAGCACATGAATTCTGATCTCAGTCCTGAAAACAACAGATCTGAGTCACATTAGGGCAAAAATGGGATTTGTGCCACTTCAACCTGGTAATGTGAACGTAGCCTATGATTCTGTAGGCTTGTGAACCAACTAAGCCGTCTAGCCAGTAAGGTGTACTACACATCTCTGATTTCATATTGTTTATTCCGCACATACATATATATATGCATGCTCATGTTTGTGCAACTTACGAGTCAGACTACCAGACAGAACATTTCCCAGTACTTTTAATAGGCAGTCTGAGGCAGGAGGGCCTAATAAAAGCATAATCCGCCACAGGGCCCAGTGCGACTGGCCATCCTGTCCCCCTCCCCTTGTTGCACCACTGGGACTCCTTACAACCACTTGGAAGACCTGGTAGACCACCAAAACTGTCTAATGTGTAATTTATAGTTAAATATTCTGTACTGTACTGCTTTTTTCTTGACTCTGAACAATAAATAACTTGTACTTTAGAAGCTGTTCTGGAAGTCATATGAATGGTATGGTGGTCTCTGACACAGTCCTGTAGCTTTAACGCAATATACTACTTTATTTTGCGTTTTAAAACATTGGGGTGGAATTTGAACAAATAAGTCAAATGTGTGACAAAGTAAAGTGATTACATGCTATTACATATTTTAGTCATGACTGCTTTAATGTTATATGATGCTAAAGAGACATGTTCTCATTGCGTTTAGCTAGTTACATCATACAGACGGCACATTGGACATTATGATAATAATAATAATAACAACACATGATGTGTTATCATTATAATAACACTAAAAACAAACAAGTAGACACAGTAGTAGAGAGATAGACAACACTAGGCAGGACATATGGAAGGCCTAATGGAGTAGTTTAGGTTGTATGTGAGAGAAAATGTGGATATGTTTAATGATTAGATTTGAATGCATGAAGAGAATCAGACTGTCGGACTTGCGGAGAGAGAGTTCCGGATACGAGAAGCTAATTATGTTTAATATCATTTTTTTATTTCGTTTGTGCTTGTTTTTCAGGTTTGCGTCTGCTGGGGATGATGGGATGGTGCTGGTGTGGAATGTGGAGGTGGGAGATTTTGGATCGTATACTAATATTCATTGATATCCAAACTCATGGTTTGGAATTGGAAAAAATAGTTGAAATACAAGCAGCTGATATTGTATCTCATGTTATGTGAAATGTGCCCTTGTTTATAACTAAATGAAAATATTGAACAATTTCTCGAATGGGACAAAATGACATATAGAAATGATTAAAATGGGACAAAATATAGTTGGGTGGCTGTTTGTGAGGGCAGCCCAGATATATGTGTGGGAAACACTGGTATCATATTCCCAATGAGAAAATATGTAATATTGTTATTACTAATCACAGATGTTTACAAACTGAAAGGAATGGTTTAGCAAGAAATCACATTTGCACAGTTGTCCACTTGCCCCAGATGTAGTCAATCCACCAAGACATGTCTGGAGTCCAAATGCTTCCTTAGTTTTAGAGCTGGAGCTACAAGGCTAATGTAGCTAACAAATACTAGAATCAATAGTCACCCAAATATTTTCTGTAAATACATCCCCAAAATATCCCCGCATCTGGGTCTTCGTTAAGATGTTACAGACTGGTAGATGTGGTTTAGAGCATAGTATGACTTACTGAGGGCTATAAAATGATCAAAACGTCAGCATATAGCTGGATACTGCAGGCAGACACTTTAGACAGTGGGTGTTGTGCTGAAATCTGCCTCTCCTGCAGAAACTGGCTGCCCTTCATGCACATGCGTGTCAAATGGACACTAGATTACTTTCGCTTTGAATGCCTTTGTGTTCAGTCACTACAATGCCCAGCATGCACTGCGCAAATATGTCAAACACCGCCCCCCCAGTTTCTTTCACCTTCAAGATACATCATCAGAGGGGGATTTTATAATCTTTAAACTGAACGAACACCGTAGGAGGCGAGTTGGCATGTTTGCAACAGATGTAGCTCTACGTTTTTCAGCTGCACATGATTTGAACTCTGTGTGTTTCAGACTGGGGAGCGGCTGATGGAGCTACGAGGTCATACGCAACAGATCACGGCCATGACGTCATACACCTTCATCAGAGGAGGAAAACCCCACACAGGGCTTATAACGGCATCATCAGACCGCTCACTGAGTGTATCCTCATACTCGTACGCGTGTGTTAGGGGTGTAAAAATGCAGCTATGAACTGAGATTCATCACTCTGATCATGTTTTCATCACAGCCAGGCTCATGTATGTAGTCAGTGTGTTTTTCCAAGCAATTCTGAATTGTTTTAAAGCTGGCAGTGTGTGTTCCTTAATAGTGGTGTAGCTGTGGGATCCAGACACAGGAAACAGAGTGCAGACCGTATCCAATCTACAGTCGTCTGTGAAGGTACAGTGTATGATCTGATTTACAGTACGCTGTGTGATTTACTTTACTGTGAAAAGCTGCAGTGTATGGTTCAGAGTCCTCTGATAAGCAACCACAATCTGATTTGATCCACAGATCAGGTATATTTTAATGAGTTTCTGGTAATTTAAAGCCTCAGGGAACCTGAATCTAAGTAGGTTTATCTTATTCTTGTGCGGACACAGTATACACATATATGTACAAAGTATGTCCTGTGAATTTTTCACTGATTGACCAATGTATTTGGCAAAATTCTCCTCTTTCGATGCAAACTGGGCTTCCTAATAGACCCTTTTTACAAGATGCGGAAGTGTGTAAGCGCTGGGTAAAACAAGTTCCTCTTTTGCCTTTCGGACAGTTACTAACCTCAGAAACACAGGTGTTCATATCACTTCAGCCACCACAGAAAGGTGAGTCACATCTTTGTTATAGTTGCCAAGATTGAAATTCGAGGATGTGTCTAGAACTGTTGGAGAACCAAACACACAACAATGTGGAAGTCCAGACTAAATAAAGGATATAAATGATTCGTGGAAAAATTCCTTTACAGCTATCAGAGCACAGTAACGTCAGCTGACGCCTACAGAGTGATAAATCGATGGAGGTGAAAATAAGTTTAACCAAAATGCCAGATTAGCCATGTTCGCTGGAGATGCTGCAACAGCTCACTAACAATAAACTAGTTAAAGCAGCAAAAAGCTAAACACACACACATCCCAGCAGGGGGCGCATGCGTCGTCAGGGTCTGCAGCACCACTGTAGACGGTTTCTTATTTGCATTTATAATCACTCAGCTGGTTTCCTGATACGTTTAATCTGCATCGAGAAACTGTCAAAACACTAAAAAGTCGTGAGGCTGAAGTCACTTCTTGTTCGAATTGTCCCGTTCCACCTTAAATGATGCAGCTGTTACATACTAGCGGCTCAGGCACCATTTAAGGTAGAACCACCGGGACCAGTGAACAAACATCTGCTCTCCGCTGAGCTCTCGCTCTCTCAGTCGCTGATCATTTTTGAGGGAGAAAATGAAAACTGTTCCTCTGAAAGCGGCTGCAGCAGCAACTTTAAAGCTCGAGCTGCATTCAGTGTAACGTTAGACTGCAGCGCTGAAATGCAGACACAGAGGTTCTTTTCCTCTGTATCACAAAGTTTTTCCTTTATTAATCACACAAACTCGTTTTTCCTCTGATCATTGTCAGCTGACAGACCACTGAAACTGAGATGAGGCTGTTTTTGCTTCAAGCTCTAATACTTGAGTGAGCTGTACACACTCAACTCGTCATTGTTGCTGTTGTTATTGCTTTAGCGGAAGCAGCGTCACCTTACAATGACTACTTTCAGCAGAACAAAAACACGGAAATGTGAAAAGGGACTATTTTGAGTATCGCATAGGTAAGCAGTGTCCTCACTAATCACAAGGCTCGTTTGGGTTGTCCCACCCAAACAGCTTTACAGAATGGCCTCTCTGTGAAAACTAACCACTGAGCGAAAGCTAACCTAACACGCGTAACTGAGCTACCTCACTTCCCTCGCACTGTTCTCTTTAGTTCTGCTTCAGTGCTGTAGCAGGCTGGACCGAGGGCGGTCAATCATGCATGCTCATTAGAATATTAGGCCACACCCTCATAGTGTTTCAATAAATCCAACCAGTTTATTTTATTTCTGTTTCAATGTAAACTTCGCTGGATGTTTAAAATAAGTCAAAAGTTTCCTGGGAACCAGTACAAGTCTGATTCTTTATCGTTTGTCGTGATGTAAATGTGACAGAACCTGACCTTGTCCACACCTGCATCAGTGAGGCACGTTTCTAGAAGTTCACAAAGAGATCTAAGGCAGGTAAAAGTGGCCCAAAAGTGATTTTCTCACCAATTCGATTTCTTTGTTTGGCTGTTCACATTATCTTTTAAATGTGATCTGTATGCGACATCAGTCTGAACAGATCAGCTCCTAAACCGACCCGCATTCGCCAAAGTGTGAAGTAAACAATCACGATCGCCAACGAGCGCCAGTCGCTCCCGGAGGATCAGCTTCATCTTCACCAGCATCACAGGAGCCATCATGAAGATTCACTGACTGACAGCTGGACTCATCACCCAGAATGTGTTCGAGCCGTAAAAAGGGCGCGGTCACTTCTTTGGTTCGTGTCCTTGGATTCTGTAAACTTTGCTTTCAGACTTTTAACTGTTCTTTGGCGCTGCAGCCTCGTTCTCTTGCAGCCACGTTCGGCCATTTCTTCCGAAATCTCTTAGAACACGGAGGGTTTGGATACGTCTCATCAAATTTTTTGGTACAGAACCATCAGCCTAAATGTTTATGAATCTCACCAGCATGAAATTATGACGAATGTCAAGTTGGATTGACGTAAAAGTCGCATGAATTCCGATCTGGCTGTTCAGACTGAGTCACATTGCCGCAGATCGGATACGTATCATCACATATGAAAGTGTCTCAAATCGGAACTGAAAATGTCAGATTCATTGTGTTTATCTGTTGACACAGACACACAGCCACACATGTGTCACATATTTGTCTGAGGTGTGGAACTGTTCTGTATGCCTGTTGTGGACATTGAGTGACGCTCCCTCTCTCTGTGTGTACTAACGCTTCTTTCTCTCTTTCGTAGTGTCTGTTGGTGTTGAACGATGTGGATGTATGGCTCTCGGGTGGTAACGATCTGTGTGTGTGGAACAGAGACTTTCAGCTGCAGTGTAAAAGCGTACATCACAGAGATGCAGGTTCTCTTCATTCAGATCCTAAAAAGATTCATCATCAGCTGATGAGGTGTATCAGAGCATGGGAAGCACTAACCTCTACTCATCTGTCTGTCTGACTGGCTGTTTGTCTATCTGTCTGTCTGTCCTACTGCAGGCATCACTGCGATGGTGGAGTTACCCAAAAACTGCGTTGCTGCTGCCATGGACAAAGAGATTGGTATGTGATGTCAAAATCTTTGTTTACGTATTATTTTAAAGGGACATAGACATAATATTCCTTCTCAGACTGTTTTTAGTGATGTACGCCATCCAAATACATCTTTCTTTGGAAATCAGTCAAATTAATTCTTGTAGTCGGACACCGATACTTAAACCTGGGGTGCATTTTTGATAAATATCTGATTTCTAGTTTTGCTTGTAAGCACAAATATGAAGGGAAAAATGAAAAATTCTAAAATCAATTATTCAGGTAATCAAGTCATATTGAACTAGAGGTTTGTACAGGCTTGATTATTAATGCCTGAACCCACCACTTCAACCAAACATTACATATGCCTGTACCCACAAAACCTACACTGCAAAAAATATCTTAGCAAGTAAAAAAAACATATATGTAGTCAGTATATCTATTGTTTCTCTTTGTGAAATTTTTGTGAGAATATATTAAGATTATTCCATCGAGACATTCTCTAATTAAGGAATTTTATTTATGAAAGTGTCTTATTTCATTGGCAGATCATTTTACCTGTTTTGAGCATTATTTCTTGCAATAAACAAAATTATATTCACTCTTTCACTAGTTAAATAATCTTATAATATTCTTACAAGTCTTATAATGAGAAATATTAGATATGTGATCTACATTTAAGATGTTTTCACTTGCTAAGATGTGATTTTTTTTAGCATAGTGCTGTTCCTGACCACACCCGCCCACTTCGACCCACTCGTACTCGTCTGCTTAGGGCTGTGGTCCTTAATACACAGCCCCCGTGTTGCGGCAAAACAGCCTCCAGACCCACCGCACCTCCACACACCAAGCCCAAAATCAACATGTGAATGTTGGAAAATATATGTTAATATTTGTGCATTTTTTGGCTAAAAAGAACTATGAGAAATCACAAATAGCACCACACAACCAAACTTTATTCGCATCTTATATGTGTCAACATTATTTTATTGGCTAACTGTGCTACAAAGCATCAGCCAAAATTAAATTAAAGCCAAAATAGATATTATGCCATAACTTAACTTGAAAGCCAAAACAATGTTCTTGGAAAAAAAGCAGTTGGATTTTGAGCATAAATTATTTAGTGAAGGTTAATAAAGCTGCATTATGCGTTTCATCATGGGTTCAGTAATATGCAGCTTATTTGTAGCCAGTCCATGTCGACCAGGCACCAGGCTTGTTTGACTCAGGGTTGATTGACACCTGGCTGGGTACAATGCATGCTGGTTAGATTTATGCATTGGCACCACCACCGTGGCACAATGTTGTACACCATTATAATTTTTGGGAGTATTCATAGCCAGCTGCTGCCAGGCTGAGTTTAATGGCAACAGAGCTCAATCCTCATTGGCTTGAAGTTCCGCCCACAACCACAAACTGTGGTGATTACAGCGCGAAGCACGCTAAATTGTGTTGTGTTTATGGCTGTTATTTCCACATTTCATATGTCTGATATATGACCGCCGTGAGGGAGGGCTCTCTTTTCGACTCTTCCGAAAACTGTAACCGGCTACTCTCGCTGACCGCCAAGGTGAGGCACAGCATAGGGAAGTACTTGTTGGACTTCAGCGCTATATTTCTGCCACCAGTTACGTCACTTTTGTGCTCCATGTGTGAGGTAGTTCCGTTCTGTCAGCACCGGCTGATGTTTATTGTGGAAACTTATATCATGATAACGAAAAAAAATATGATTTCTTTTGCAGCTCTATGCTACATTGAACTCCATATTCAACAGTACTATAGTACAGTGAAGCAGAATTTGTCCAAGTGACTCGTATGCACTGTAAACCTCTAGAGAAGGTGGATTTGAAAATGTTTACTGTATTTTATCTGTGAAAATTGATTGTTGTTTGCTGTTTCAGTTATTTTTAAGTTAAACCTGTCTGAAGTGGAGATGTCAGTCTTGGCCATTCGCCACCTCGCTGACCACCAGGACACAATCAGAGCGCTCATCAGCATCAACGGTGAGACTACACGACACAGACTAGGGCTGTACGAAAAATTACCACAATAACAAAAAGTTAAAGTGGGACAAAACCAGCGGTTGGCATATTTCAGTGCCTAATGTACAATTTCTAGTTTGCTCAATTCCTAGTTTGCTGACTGGTCGAGCTCTAACTGATCAACAAATCCCCACGTCATAAAATAAGATAATCCTTTATTTGTCCCACAACAGGGAAATTCTCAGTGTTAGAGCAGCAAAGGGAGAGCAAGACAATCAAGAAAATAAAAGAAGTAACAAGAAGAGATTTAACAAGCATGTAATTAACTGTTAATTACTTAACAAGGTTTTACAGTTTGTTACTTGTTACTTTATAGACAGTATATATAATACTAAAAGTAAAAAATAAGAAAAAAAAAAAACCTCTATCCTTCACAAAAATTAACAATATAAAGGATTATAAATAAATAAATAAATACATACATACATACATAGATGCCTACAGGCCTATAGTCTGCCACACTACTTTGAGTGTTGAAGCCAGGAAACGTGGATATTCTGGCCTTCTGTCCAGAAAAGCCGACCCCATTATATAACAAAAAATAATCACATTTAAATCACACTAAAATATTGGTCAGAAAAACCGCAGTCAGATTTTTCCCCAAACGGTTTAACTGTGAATTGTAGAACTACAGATTGCTTCTGCATCTGTATGTATCTATTTAACTGGACAGGGAGTGTATGTACACACCATAATACTTAGGAAGCCATGACACTCATACAGGCTTCAGGAACAGTGTGTGGCTTTGCTTATTGTGCTGAGGAGATGATGTATTTCTTTGAAAAGCTGTTGTGCTTTGCATAGTTTGATTTATTGTGATGACTCGTCTTCTGCTCTGTATTCTCAGACGGCCTGTTTGCTAGTGGCTCTCATAACGGTGAACTCATCCTCTGGGATGCCGTGGATTGGACGATCCAGGCTTATGAGCTCATTCTGTGGGAGGAGCCAGCAGGAGATGCCCAACCAGAGATCAGAGTGGGCCAGCAGAAACAGACCGAGATGTCCATTCAGCACCTGGCCACAGATGGAGAGGTGGGTTGATATGTGACAGGACCAAATGGTAACACCTCCCCCCCCCACACACCTGGTTCAAGTGTTCACTGTGGTTATTTACCACACGGCTACCTGAGTAACAGGACGCTGTTACCAGCCCAGGCCTAGCGAGAAGTGTCTGTTGCGTGCCGAACTGTAGCCTGAGCAACTTTTTGTGCAGAAAAAAGAATCGTCAAATAAGGATGCATGCTCTTTCCATTGGCCTTTAGCCCCCCCCAGCCGCTTCCTGAGCCCACACAGAACATGAGTGGTCAATCTCTAGAACAGAAGAGAAAGTTGACCCGAATATTCACTCTACTCCAAACCCAGCCATAGATGCGGTGAGCAGCAGCGTATGTAAATTTTCATTGGTATTTTTACCATGATTGTTGTTATTCGCTTCCTAGGAGTTTTCTCAGGCTCTGATTTGCTGCTGCTCATTGCTCCTCCTACTTTATTTTCAAACATGAGACAGAATTACACATTTTCACCAGGTCTCCAAATCCCCAAAAATGACATAGTGTAGCTTTATGTTAGGAAAGTTTCAGCAGCTTCTCATTCTGGCTATGCTGTCGTTTTTGCTGTCAAGGATATTTTGAAATGATTTATGATTTGAAGTTATTTTTCTCGTAGCTGGTGGTTGCAGCAGTAGGCAGTGGCCTGTATGTGTATAATGCAGTGATGAAGATGGTGGTGGCGTACAGGAAGATTGCTCATGACTCTGATGTTTTGCATACCATGCTGCTGGACAACAGGTAAGCAGTTATTGTACTATATTAATATTAATGCATTGATCTGAAGCTCATGGTTTCTAATTATTGTTATACATCGAAGTCTGTATATATCGATGTAAATTTGGTCATATTTCAATAATGAAATGAAGGGTCAGTAATATGTACTCTTGAAGTTTTGCTCCATAAAGTAAAATGTTAAAGCTGAATTTCCATCTTTATAATTGCAATACTTCATTTTGTAAACAAACCAAATTTTAATGTCACCCCGAAATCAAAATAGACCTTTTTATCTTGTTAGTTCAAGTCTCTGTTCATATTAAGCACCATTCATCACATCATTTAAAAGACTAAATTCTTCTATCAAAATGCGATAACTGGTAACAACTTTAGACTTTATTTAGCTAAATTGACTTTAGACATCTTAAGGCAAATGAATTATAAATTGCTGATGAACAGTGCTGTTTTTTGTTGTTGAGCAAAGTAGAGAAAATTTCATTTACTACTGACATTGAAATGCTTTGGGATGATTTTCAGCTTTTAACAAAACTTGATACATAAAGCAATACATTATATAACGTGAGAACTGTCTGTTGTCTTTTTAAACCAGTGACTGTTTTGCTGATGTATTTGTGTTCTCTGTTGTGTGAAGTCAGGTGATGTCGTGCTCTGAGGACGGCAGTGTGAGGATCTGGGAGTTACAGGACCTCCCCCTACCTGCAGAGCCCGCCCCCTCAGGTGAGAAAATACATGTCTCTTTTTGCCTTTGTGATTCTCTGTCCTTGTTCCCTAACTACAGGAAGATTCACTCAAAAGAGGCCCCGAATATGCTGTAATAAATCTTGCTAGGACGAAGCAATCTGAATGAAACAACATGCAATGTGCTCCTCAGTAAATGTTATATGAGGTTTCATAGGCGAACGCTGCAGACGATGTTGGACGTCATAGATTGTGTCCTGCGACATTTTCAGACGCCATCCACCGTGAAAAGGGATCAGTGATCCCGTCGTTTCCAGTTTCCGTACCATCTTCTGAATAACACTTTTTGAGGGTACGTCACTAACACCATATTTCTTCCTGAATTCATACTGACATTGCTTAAATGAATTGGTGACCCAATAAGTTTGCACCATGAAGATGTGCTGCTTAACACTGTACACCACCATCCTGATGAGAAGTTGAGTGACTGAGTGAAGGGGTATGGCTCCGTTGCAAACAGAGGTCAAACGTTGCAACAGCTGTCCGGCCCCTACCTCATCGCTCCGACGCAAGGGCATCCCGGCTTGTACGAAGCTCCATATACTGAGGAGCACATTGCATGTTGTTTCGTTTAGATTGCCCCGTCCTAGAGAGAGTAATTATAGAAAATTCGGGGCCTCTTTCGAGTGAATCTCCCTGTAGTAGTGGGTCTTTTACTGGGTCAGATTCTTCTTAAGGAATGATTTTTTTCTCAGATGCCTAAAATGTTGGCACAGTAATGTGTGTGTATATATATAGACTATACTACTGTGGTATACATATATACACACACTGAAAATAATTTTTCCAATATTCTGTGAAATGCATGTCCACTGCTAGTTCCACCTTTCTTTCCTCTCTTTTTTCCTCCCTCTGCCTGCCTCTTGCTCTTCCCTCTCTCTCTGAGATTGATCCAGATGTTGGCTCTGTTCCCTCTTCACATCCATCACTGTTGTGGAGTGGAAGGCGTGTGCATGCGTGTGTATTCTCATCAATCAGCCACTTCACTGTAAACACTGCAGCTCAGAGTGCTCTGCTTAAAGCTGCTCACTCCACTGTAAACCTACAGCTCAGAGTGATCTGCTTAAAGCTGCTCGCTCCACTGTAAACGCTGCAGCTCAGAGTGCTCTGCTTAAAGCTGCTCACTCCACTGTAAATCTACAGCTCAGAGTGCTCTGCTTAAAGCTGCTCGCTCCACTGTAAATCTACAGCTCAGAGTGATCTGCTTAAAGCTGCTCGCTCCACTGTAAACCTACAGCTCAGAGAGATCTGCTTAAAGCTGCTCACTCCACTGTAAATCTACAGCTCAGAGTGCTCTGCTTAAAGCTGCTCCACTGTAGCTGCAGTCAGAGTCTGCTTAAAGCTGCTCGCTCCACTGTAAACACTGCAGCTCAGAGTGCTCTGCTTAAAGCTGCTCACTCCACTGTAAACACTGCAGCTCAGAGTGCTCTGCTTAAAGCTGCTCACTCCACTACGCTGCAATACAGCTGCAGCTCAGAGTGCTCTGCTTAAAGCTGCTCGCTCCACTGTAAACACTGCAGCTCAGAGTGCTCTGCTTAAAGCTGCTCACTCCACTGTAAACGCTGCAGCTCAGAGTGATCTGCTTAAAGCTGCTCGCTCCACTGTAAATGCTGCAGCTCAGAGTGCTCTGCTTAAAGCTGCTCGCTCCACTGTGAATGCTGCGGCTCAGAGTGCTCTGCTTAAAGCTGCTCAGTCCACTGTAAACACTGCAGCTCAGAGTGATCTGCTTAAAGCTGCTCAGTCCACTGTAAACACTGCAGCTCAGAATATTCTGCAGAAAGCTGCTCGCTCTACTGTAAACACTGCAGCTCAGAGTGATCTGCCTAAAGCTGCTCAGTCCACTGTAAACACTGCAGCTCAGAGTGATCTGCTTAAAGCTGCTCAGTCCACTGTAAACACTGCAGCTCAGAGTGATCTGCTTAAAGCTGCTCAGTCCACTGTAAACACTGCAGCTCAGAGTGATCTGCTTAAAGCTGCTCAGTCCACTGTAAACACTGCAGCTCAGAGTGATCTGCTTAAAGCTGCTCGCTCCACTGTAAACACTGCAGCTCAGAGTGATCTGCTTAAAGCTGCTCGCTCCACTGTAAACCTACAGCTGTGTTTAACTGTATTGTAAAAACAGGTATTATATGCTTTATCTAAGCAGAGAGGAGGTTTATTAAGAGTTTTTAAAATGATGTAACATCTGGTTGAGTTTTGATTAAGAAAAATTAACTCTTTGCTCTGTTTTGTTGTGAACATTTCACATTCCTTCAGAACACAGTGGTGCATGTCATATAGTCATATATAACACACTATATGGACATATAGGGCACTTACACAGTATATTTACAGGAGCTTTTATGAACCCCATTCTAAATCCATTAGCATTAGTATGGAGTTGGTCCCCCTTTGCAGCTCTAACAGCTTCCACTCTTCTGGGAAGCTTCTACAGATGTTGGAGAGAGTCTGTGGGAATTTCTGCCCATTCATCCAGAAGAGCATTTGTGAGGTCAGACACTGATGTTGGACGAGAGGGTCTGGCTCACAGTCTCTGTTCTAGTTCATCCCAAAGGTGTGTGATGGGGTTGAGGTCAGGGCTCTGTGAGGGCCAGTCAAGTTCTTCCACACCAAACTCCCCCAGTCAGGCCTTTATGGAGCTGCTTTGTGCACTGGGGCTCAGTCAGGCTGGAACAGGAAAGGTTCTTCCCCAAACTGTTCCCACAAAGTTGGAAGTGTACAGTTGTTCTAAATGTCTTGGTGCTGAAGCTTTAAGATTTCCCTTCACTGGAACTAAGGGTTCTAGACCAACCCCTGAAAAAGCCCCATATCATCATCCCTCCTCCACCAAACGTTACAGCTGGCACAGTGCACTTACAGTTGATGGGCAGATCTAGCAGGACAGAAATTTCACAAACAGACTTGTGGGAGAGGCGGCATCCTATAACAGAGCCATGTTTAAAGTCACTGAGCTCATCAGTGCGACCCTCTACTGCCAGTGTTGGTCTATCGAGACTGCAAGGCTTAATTTTATCCACCTGTTAGCGATGGGTGTGGCTGCAACACCTGAACTCAATAATCAGAAGGGGTGTCCCAATAATTTTGTTCTTATAGTTTAGCTTTATCTACAGTAACACACTTGTTGGATAAACAACTAAGTGTTTTTTTTTTTTACTCCTCCTCCTTCTCTCTCTCTCTCTCTCTCTCTCTCTCTCTCTCTCTCTCTCTCTCTCTCTCTTTCAGGGTTTTTTGGAATGTTTGGCACTTTCGGCCGGTCTGGTAAACAGACAGGTGTTCCTGTGAGGAAGCTTGTGGACGTTAGCGGTCTTCGCTCACTGGAGCTGATCGGTGATCTAATCGGTCACTCTGGTGCTGTTCAGGTACGTGTCCTGCCATACCATAACACTGAAGGGGTGAGAGGTGAAAGGTCTCCTCTGTGCCAAGTTCAGCACTCTGATTTTGGTCTTAAACGTGTTGTAGTCCGAACTCTGACTGCGCTGCTGCTATCAGGTATCTATTAGACGCTTTTATGAAGTATCTGATGTGTCTGCATCAGAAATAGCAAGCTGAGTAGGACTTATTGATCGGTCAGACACGTGTCAATATCGATGCGTTTAACATCGGCTTAATTAACGCAGCTGCCAGAGTGAAGGATGTGATCTACATGCGGCTCGACTTTCCCATCGATTGCCCGCCTGCTGATACTAAGCAGGAGAACACGCCAAAACCCACAGTGATCCATCTTTTGGAGTTAAAATGAGCTAAAGTTCAGTGAAGAAGATTTCGGTTTTGGGGAGCGGGGAGGGGGGGTTCACTGCAGCCCCTACTGGACAGAGATGGAATGGTCAAACTTGATCCATTAATGTACTAAATTACACCCCATCTGTAGTAGTGCAGGCTGAAGCTCAGCTGCAGTGCGCTGTATGTTGTTCTGATAAAACTTGTGATTGTATCGCTTTCGTTAAAATTCAGCTTTTAAATGTCTTTTAAAGTGAAACGTTCAGCACCTTCAGCAGGCCACACTGGACAGACACTCACAGGAGACCTGTGGATAAATCAATGAGCAGCAAACTAACAAAAGCAGCAGTTTGGTGGAGCTTCAGTTACCCTCGAGAAGCTCCATTGTAACTACTGTAATCCACGAGATGTATTAATGAGAGGCTACAGTCACAGAGAAGCTGAACCAAATACTCTAATTGACTGTATATATGAGATATATGATATATATACACTCACTCACTGTATATATTGTGACATCTGGTGAAAAAGGAGACGCAGGAAACATAGAGCTTTCAGGAAAGGCTCTTTTATTGAACCAGCAGCAGTGGAGCACCGCCACCAAGTACTGACTGAATTGGGGCAGAGCAGAGGGGTCAAGGATAACCATACAAACACCCCCCCCAATCAACCCCTTAGCTCAGCACCGATCCACACATATATCACATAAACATGTCAGTAATGTCCACATGACCAAACATGTATAAATTGAAGTCCCTCCGACCACTTTCCCATGATGCTCTGCACGTCCACAGCTGAATGAGCCAACAGCAGAATGCTACAACATATGTGATGTACACATACCTTGACTGTATATATGATATATACTCTGTTTGACTGTATATAGGAAATACATCGCTGCTGTTGGAGCAAAACCTCGTATCTCCATTTTTGACATAATCTGAAAATTCATATTGCTCTTTACATCGTGTATAAGTTTAATGATCAAATGGCCCAAAGAAACGGCCCAAAATGACTTTGAGAAAAGTCTGGTTCCATTGACTTACATTAAAAGTAAAGTATGTTTTTTCCTTCTCCTGTAAAGTTACCATTTTGGAGAGATGAGGTTTTGTTCTGACAGCAGTGATATACAGTCTCATTGACTGTATATATGATATGTATATATGTTATAGGGAACATGCAAACACTGTTGCTCTCACTGGACGTTCACTCTGTGGAAATCAAGTGATCAGATTCTGCCTTCAAAATAATGTTATTAAATTACTGAAGGTAAAAATACATTCTGATCAGAGAAGATTCTTTTGTCTGCTCATTTTTTAAGTGGAAACAAATCTGTCTTTAGGCCCAAATTTGAGCAGATTAGACACAAGCAATCAGAAACAAGTAAGTATTTTAACTGGTTGACAGCTGTAGTTAAATTAACACAACTGCAAAGCATAAGACGTAAAGAGTGGTGTGATTATAGAGAAAATAATGGAGGGAAAAAGAGGAACAGCGATTTTCCTCTTTGTCATTTATTTGTTGAGTTGTTTAGTTGTTTAGCGCCTTTTAGCCTGTAATTTGTGACGAACTCTACTTCAGAATATTGAGCTCATCTAAGTATTAATGATGTATTAAACACTTATTAGTTCTAATGCAAAGAACTCCAGAAGTCACCCGACACCGTCGAGAACCTACAGGAATTAAATGCTGCCAAGTAAAGTGATTAATTGATGCTCATTCATGCATGACTAGGTCATAATGAAGCGTAATGGACAGTGAATAAAGCTGGTTAGAAGTGCCTAATTTGGGCTTTATTGAATGAATAGCCTTTAAAAGACCACAATAAACCCCCAGTATGTGTCCTGAAAATAAAGTGGGGGGAATTCATTTAAATATATGCATCAACTTCACTATTTACATGTCTTAGACAGACATTTAGACACAGATTTTAGACTTACATCTTTTAAGATGATGAAAAACATGGATTCGGCTGTGTTTTCTGACCAGCACTGAACTGCTCTGTGCTGCAGATGTTTGCAAGTTTCGGCGAGAAAGGTTTGGTCACCTGCTCCGCTGACCACCTGCTCATCGTGTGGAAGGACGGAGAGCGAGAGTCGCAGCTGCGCAGTCTGGCGCTGTTCCAGAAGCTGGAGGAGATGCAGGGCCTGTAGAGGGCGCTGTGGACCAGAGCCGATCACTCATTTAACTCCATCTGGTTCTGGAGCTCCCAAAAACAGCCCGTCACACTTACCTGTGTCCCAGACGAACAGGTAAAGAACACTCCGGTTTACCAAAACGCAGCATGGCACAAAGAACCGCCACACATCACCATTAACAAAAACCCACTGAGGGTCAGTTCACAGTGGTCCTGTTAAAGGGGGAGTTTTTCAAAAAAAGCACTGTTTTAACCCAAATGTACTCAGCCAGCCAAGACATGGTGGGTGTTTTCAAGGTTGCTTCTGGTGCTACGAGGCTAATGTAGCTAAACATACTATATATGCCCTTATATAACAATATATAAGACAAATGGTTACAGCAGAACAGCAGAGTTTAGTTCCAGTGCTGCAGTGATGCACAGGATTTTGTACTAATCCTGAGTAACCAGGATTAGACCAATACTGGAAAACCAGAAAGTTTGTGATTAAATATCAAAATTTTTATAAAATACTCAAGTTTGACAAGCTAGATGCTCCTAATGTCGTTGAAGGCTGTACGATTCTAGCTCTTGTGGTCCAAAGTGGACATAATTTTTAAACTGATCTTCCCAAAGCTTCACAAATCAAACGAAGCTTTTACATTGTGTGTGAAAATATGGGCAAAAATTCTCTTTTTATGAGGGTTAGCATAAATGCTAATGGTGTTAGCTTCCTCACTGGCCACCTAAGTGAATTTTTTATGTTCTAAATGTTTTATTTATTATTTTTTAAATTAATTTTAAATTTCATTTGTAATTCTAAAAAACATCAACACCAAAGTATTTAGCTACATGTAGCAGCACTGCCATCTTTAGAAAGTGAAAAAGTAAAATTCATTATATACTTGGGTACAGTTGACTTTACAGCCTCAAACATTACAAGATTTTACTGGTTTTGTTTTGTCTGTTTTTGTTTATATACTGTTACTGAAATTAAGCATCCAAGCTGATTGGATGCAAGTTATCCAGCCAACCTTCATGTTTATGTTCTGATTTGGTTTATACATTTAACATAACATTTTGGAAAAACCTGCACTGTCAGAAACCAACCTAAGCAAGTCTACGCTTACGTTACCTGTTAGTTATGTTAGCCTCGTAGCTTCAGTGCTAAAACTAAACAAGTGAACTTCGACGCCAAACATGTCTCGGCTGATCGACTACATTTGGGATCAGCTGGGCAAAATGAATTTTCCCTGAGCTATTCTTCTACAGTTCGGTGGTGAGGAGAAGACGGACGCCTTCGAATACGAATTGTGAAAATGACCTTTTATGTTCTAATGAGCACCGAACGACTCCACACTGACTGAACCGAGAGTGCGAACTTTCTGATCCTGTATCAGCAACTTTACTATGAAATGTTCACAGCCATCCTGAGCTCAGGACACGATTCCTGCCTTACACAACCAGTATTTGCCTGTCGTTAAGATGTTTTAGCAGAAAGTTTGTCGTCCTTTTTTAAATATAGTGTGTTTTTAAGCATTAGGCAAATCATTTTGTACTCATTTTAATTTAATGTTTGATTGCATGTAGATTTGTGTGCAGAATTATTGTAACTTGTGTGAATGATTGATTTGAGAATCACATGCATTCTGAGATGTGTTTATTTTAAAGGGCCCATATTGTGGAAAAGTGAATTTCCTCACTTATTTTGAGTTTGTTTACATATTACATCATTGTTAAATCTACCAGTCACAGCTCAGATGTGGTCACTAATGTGCACTAAGGTTTTTTTTTTTGCCATGTCACACAAAACATTTACATAGTCTACCCATTCATCTTACAGACGTTTAGCTCCGCCCACTCAAGCTGAAGTTATGACTGTTTAAGCCAGGCTGCTTTCTGAATGAGGCACAGCCAGTCAGAAGAGAGCTCATTTACGTACATCAGCCTTAAAGGCACAGTAACAAAACGGCCTTTGAGTATGTAAGAATGAATTAGGAAATTAGCAAAAAACAAGTTGAACCTATGGAGAAAAATGTTGGATATGGGCCCTTTAAAAATGCTCGTTTGCACATTTTGGTGTCCACTGGAACGTAAACTGATTGTATTTTTTGTAAACAGTGTTAACTGCCACTGATTAAAGCCTGCTTTGTGAGGAGGTGCATGAGAGAAAATGTTATTGCAAGTTTCTTTTAATGTGTTTCACAAATACAACATAGTAACGCTTTAAAATCAGGAGCGGCTCCTCTGAAACAACAGCGGATTCTCAGACAGACGGAAATGAAAACTGAAGCAGGACTTACAGTCTGGGTTGTTTTTTTTTATACAACTGACAAAAATAAAAAAATAAAAATAAAAACAGGAAACAGCTGTGGCTGGCAATGTCAGCACTCCCCATTCCTACCCTTAATATTGTTGTTCTTGTTTATTAAAAAATATAGCTTATGTACATTTCTGCAAATACTATCGTTCTCGCTCCTAAAGATCAGTGTAAAAATACAGCGATTGGCACAGACACACGACCCGTACTTTCACTTCCGTCTTCAACAAAAATGAACATGTCTGACACCAGGTAGGGCAGGAAATGGACAGCTGGGTCCAAAATCCCCACTCTGTACTGACCAGTGGGTTGAATGAACCCTTAAGCGCCCTCTGGTGGTGAAGTTCCCCACAATCAAATGACCTCACAGTAGTTTCATCTAAAAAAAAAAAAAAATTACAGTTCAAATTACAGTACTGTTACACACCTGTCCTGCCCAACACAACCCTCCTAATAATAATAATAATAATAATAATAATAATGATAATAATAATATTAACAAAGCAGACGATAAACAACCAATATGACAGACGGGTCAGGTGACAGAACTGTGAGAGCATAAAAAGATGTAATAAACACGTGGTATCCATGGTAACATTCTCAGGAACCCCTCCGCTGGACCTTCAGAAGGTTGCGGAGATACTGGAGCGTTTAAAGCTATGAAACTAGGGCTGGCCTGAATAATTCCAATACTTTGTTAAATTGGCATTTGATTCTGTGTTCCTGTAGTCTACAAGTTTCAACTTCAAAGCAAAGGCCCTTAAAAAAATGACACTGTTACTTCATGGAAAATGTTAACATTAAATTAATTATAGCTGGTTTAGTTCAGGCATCCACATCACCTCACTTTAGATTACGTTCACACAGCAGGTAAAAGTGGCCCAAATCTGATTTTTTACTAGGCTGTTCACAGTGTCTTTTAAATGTGACGAATAAGTGACATCAGTCTGAACAGATCAGCTCCTAAACTGACCCGCATGCGCAAAAGATCAATGGTTCACTCATCCAGAGGTAAACAATCACAACTATGAACGAAGGCCAGTCGCTCCCGAAGGGTCAGCTTCATCTTCACCAGCGTCACAGGAGCCATCATGAAGCTTCACTGACTGACAGCTGGGCTCATCACCCAGAATGTGTTCGAGCCGTAAAAAGGGCGTGGTCACTTCTTTGGTTCGCGTCCTCGGATTCTTTAAACTCTGCTTTCAGACTTTTAACTGTTCTTTGACGCTGCAGCCTCGTTCTCTTACGGGCGCGATCGGAAATCTCTTTGAACGCGGGGGTTTTGGATGATTTCTAATATTTTGGTACAAAAACAGAAATGTTTATGAGTCTCAGCGGCTGATGATGTATGTGGAGTTGGATTGACGTAAAAGTCCGATCTGGCTGTTCAGACTGAGTCGCGTTGCCGCATATCGGATACATATCGGATTTCAGTATCACATATAAAAGTGTTTCTAATCAGAACTGAAAATGTCAGATTCAGTGTGTTTATCTGTTCACACAGACACACATCTGTGTCACATATGAAGAAAAAGATCGGATTTGGGCCACTTTTACCTGCTGTGTGAACAGAGCCTTAGAGTGCCACAAACTGCCTCAATTCAAAGCTAAAAGAGCAAAGAAATCACACTTCACAAAATCAGAAAATGCTCAGCGCACAATTTACAGTAAGAGGTTCATATGGAGGCATGAGGCGTTTGATAAGTGTAGTGATCCCTAGTGCTGAGCTCAACTCAGCCTCAGAAAACTAGCCAAATAAAATAACTCAATAACTTAAATAAAACCAACAAACTAAAATGAGCTAAAACTGAATCTGTGATGGTGATAAATAAAATGGTAACTCTAATTTGGTAGCATCTGTGTGATTTTTTTAAGGCTGTATTTGAACGGAAGGGCTACACCTGCGGCTTCTATATCAACGTACGGCACCCGAGTGAACTGCAGTAACGAACATAACATGAAACATTAATATTATTGTTTTAAGGCTGGTTTGCGAGTATTTGGAAATACCAACGGGTATTCGAAGACGCTGTTCAGGCCAGCCCTATATGAAACGGACCTAAACATTCACCTCCTTATCATGTGTCAATCATGACAGCACCATACATGCTCATATATACACACTCCTCTTCACATATTGGAACAAACACACTCGCACACAACACAGCCATCAGGGAAAGAATGACGAGGTAACCTGGGAGAGCCGGATGGTGTTGGCGCAGGGCAGTAGGCAGTCTTTGTGTCTGTGTATGAGAGAGAGTGCCTATACATTAGAACTGTGTTTGAAAAGATTAAGGCAAGTATGTCAAGTCTGGTGACGCGCTCGGGTCATCTGAAAAACAGTCAGTATTAATGCACACACACACACACACACACACACACACAATCACAGCCTAAAGGGGACAGAAATGAGAGCGTGGACTTACGAAGTGGGGACTCGGCCTCTATTAATGTTAAATCTCCTGCATGTGTCCAGAGGAATCTAATTGTTTCCTATTTTGTAGAGCTGGGCGATGTGGACAAAATGTTGGCAATAATTACCTTAGCAATGACAAATGTGGTAGTTATTAAGAATTAAACTAATACAATTCAATGCTAATTAAATACTGTGCATAACAGTAATTAACACTTTGGCTGCTGTTGGAACAAAACCTTATACCTCCATTTTTGTCGTTTTTCAGTTTTTGACATAATTTGAAAATGCCTGTTGCTGTTTACATTGTGCGTAAATGATGAACGGCCTAAAAGAAACGGCCCAAACGACTTGGAAAAAGGTCTGGTTCCATTGACTTACATTAAAAGAAAAGTCTATTTTTGCCTTCTCCTGTAATCATTTTGGAGATACTATTTTTTGTTTCGACAACAGCGACTTGTTGAATAACTTAATAAGTAACGAAGTGACACAAGATGGGAGTCTAAGTGATACATTTGTAAATGCTTGAGATTATCTACCCTCAACTCTTTAAGGCTGATGCAAAAAAGGGGGTATTTCCGCTATTTTGTCCACTCTTTTCTGCTAATAATGCGCTTTCTGGGGTGGGTCTGTTGTGTTTAAAACCAAAGTGGCTCCAAATTACAAACACATCATAGGTAAAGTGTTGACATTTTGTTTTTGTCCCATTCTGTATTGAATTCAAATCAGTTGTGTATTGATTAGAGCTGAAGTCAAAATATGCTCTGGCTCTGCTTAGCTTTTAGTAGAGAGAAAGAATTATTGAACTTGAATTCTTATCCAATAAGGACACAGTATCACTGATGCAAAGCACTAATCTTTTAAAGCAGCAAAATATACTCGGCCTGCTAAATGTGAGTGAGTTACAATCTAGGTCTATGAGGTGCTTCGCATCAACTTACAAGTTACTAACAGGGTTGGGCAAAATACTTTGAAAAAGTACTGATGGCTGAATTCTGAATACAACGAGTGCTACATGCACTCAATAATCCCATCATAATCGCGTTTCTGCAGTTATCTGATTATTCAAATAGTCATATAAACACCACGCTCCGTTCTAGAAATCCGATTAAGAAATCAGATAAAGATTGTGTAAATGTGCAAACAATCAGATTTCTCAGTGCTGTAAACTCTTACTCTGATTTCTTTCAGATTTCTCAGTCTGTGCATGCGCGAAAACAGGCGGCAGTACCGGAAATAAGCGAGCAGCGTCGCCGCAAGATGCAGCAGAAACACTTTTGGAGTGGCACTGAAACCATATACATGCTTGACGAAATGAATTATTTAAATATTCATCATCTTCTAGATGATGTTTGTTCATATTTTCAGGTAAAGTGGCGCAATGTTAGGTGCAGCATGAAGTTTTTGTCTCATTTTACGTCTCGTCTTCTGTGAGTTTACTGACTGGTTGTAAAGCAGAAATCTGATTACTGTCTGACTCATGTAGACCTGGAATTTCCCCTTATCTGATTACTCAAGAGCATGTAAATGTGTTGATCAGATTACTGACAATTCAGATTTTCTGCAGTTATCAGATTATTAAGTGCATGTAAACACACTCAGTGTCCTGAATGTATTCAGTAACACAACATAAAAACAAAAATATTCAGAAAACATTTAGAGTTCATTTTGTTAAGGCACATGGGAAAATCGTATTTTTCCTTTTTTTAAACTTAACACACTGTTCTCTGCTCTTACTGGTTGGCAGTTTTCTTCATGTAGCTAATTATTCTGTTAACGTGCTTCAGTAACACAGTAATAACTGATCATCACATTGATTCATCAGTCTATTCAGGCTTTAGCAGAGCTCAGTAACAGATTAATAACTGATCATCACATTGATTTATCAGTCTACTCAGGCTTTAGCAGAGCTCAGTAACACTGAGATTAATAACTGATCACATTGATTTATCAGTCTATTCAGGCTTTAGCAGAGCTCAGTAACACAGATTAATAACTGATCATCACATTGATTTATCAGTCTACTCAGGCTTTAGCAGAGCTCAGTAACACTGAGATTAATAACTGATCATCACATTGATTTATCAGTCTACTCAGGCTTTAGCAGAGCTCAGTAACACTGAGATTAATAACTGATCACACTGATTTATCAGTCTACTCAGGCTTTAGCAGAGCTCAGTAACACTGAGATTAATAACTGATCACACTGATTTATCAGTCTACTCAGGCTTTAGCAGAGCTCAGTAACACTGAGATTAATAACTGATCATCACATTGATTTATCAGTCTACTCAGGCTTTAGCAGAGCTCAGTAACACTGAGATTAATAACTGATCATCACATTGATTTATCAGTCTACTCAGGCTTTAGCAGAGCTCAGTAACACTGAGATTAATAACTGATCATCACATTGATTTATCAGTCTACTCAGGCTTTAGCAGAGCTCAGTAACACTGAGATTAATAACTGATCATCACATTGATTTATCAGTCTACTCAGGCTTTAGCAGAGCTCAGTAACACTGAGATTAATAACTGATCATCACATTGATTTATCAGTCTACTCAGGCTTTAGCAGAGCTCAGTAACACTGAGATTAATAACTGATCATCACATTGATTTATCAGTCTACTCAGGCTTTAGCAGAGCTCAGTAACGCTGAGATTAATAACTGATCACACTGATTTATCAGTCTACTCAGGCTTTAGCAGAGCTCAGTAACACTGAGATTAATAACTGATCATCACATTGATTTATCAGTCTACTCAGGCTTTAGCAGAGCTCAATAACACAGATTAATAACTGATCATCACATTGATTTATCAGTCTACTCAGGCTTTAGCAGAGCTCAGTAACACTGAGATTAATAACTGATCACACTGATTTATCAGTCTACTCAGGCTTTAGCAGAGCTCAGTAACGCTGAGATTAATAACTGATCACACTGATTTATCAGTCTACTCAGGCTTTAGCAGAGCTCAGTAACACTGAGATTAATAACTGATCATCACATTGATTTATCAG